TGGCAAAGTAAAACTATACACTTAACTCCTCCGAACAGTGTCATAATAAATACAATTGATAACAGATTTAATCATCAGTTAATCCCCACTAAGCATGCATATTATTAAACAACAGTATGCTTATAACACAGCTACAAAACATGATTTATAATTCCAAGACATGCAGAGAAACCAACTTACTAAAACAATGAGCAATTACCAATTTATGTTTAACCTTACTCCATACAGGTTTACTTTGAAACCTAGGCTAATTCCATCCCAAATTCCTGGATATAAGCTTGCTTCTCAATTCATATATAAGTCTTAAGCAATGTATTACATCATTCAGTAGCCTTGAAACAGTTTCAGAAACTCAGTCTTAGCCAAACAGTCCATTCAAACTCAATATGCGCAAAAACAAAAGAGAGAGAAGGCTCTGAAACTTGGAGAGCCTTCTCCATTAAAGGGGAGCCGGCTCCCCACCCTTGGGAGCCGGCTCTAGGCTGTTGAGAGCCGGCTCTAGCTTTGTGGGAGGCGGCTCCCTCCTTTTGGGAGCCGTCTCTCACACCCTTAAGAGCCGTTTCCTTTGTACTGCTTTTCTTCTCCGACCCCGGTGGTTTCCAGACACTGAATACAGTTTTAATACATGTATTAAGGTTCCATCCTCATCCCAGATTGATCATAAGGCAGAATTATACAACTTAGAATTGAATTAAACATTAACTTTTAAAGCAACGATAACAAGATTCAATACTGAACTGTTAAAACAATTGAAACCGGATATATTCAATGCTTCAATATTCTGATTAAACATGTTTAAAAGATGTAATTACAACTCAGTTTAATCCCTGGAGTCTTCCTAAGCGTGCACAGAACACAAATTAAAGGGATAGAGAAGAACAGAGACTTGCCTTAAGTTTCAAAGTTGAAACACTGAATTCACGTCTCTGAGTTTTAGTTTTCCTTGTTCTGCCTTCCTAAGCCCTCTCTGTAAATTACTCACTCTCTGTTTCTCTGCCCTCACAACCCTCTGTATCACTGTATACGTGACTATGGTGAATAGGGTTTACAAAAACCCTTAGCAGACGTAAACATATATATTTATAGGCTTAAGTTGAAACCCTAACCTTAATCCTAAACCACCTACAGGACGGTTCAGAATAAAACACGATGAAATTAACAAAACCCTAATAATTTAAAACAGTTAAATTGCCTCTAAAATAATTAAACCAATTACAAATAAATCAATTAAAAAAAACAACAAAATTAAATAAAACAATTTAAACAATATTAACAATTAAACAGGTAATAAAATCAGTCACAAAAATGCAGCACGTAATGTAAGCTAAATAAATATAAGAATTCAACAATTTAATAAATCAAAGAAAACAAGTAAACCAAAGAATTAATTCAAATAATACAAATAAGTCAAGTACGTCAAATAATTCAAAAACAATTAAACAATTAAAAAGTCAATTAAAACATAAATTGAAAAATTAAATACCAAGACTATCCTTTTGAAATTAGGGGTATTACATGCTACAATACCCATTTTCAGAACACAATACGTTTGGACCGGGCTGTGTTGGTCCCAACAGTTGTAGAACATTTTGTAAAAAAGGTCCAAATCTTGGAATACTAAATTGGTGTTTTTGCTTGTTCCGAGTTTGCATAAGGCCCAACATTACTGTAGCGATGTCGACAAACTCCCGTCATCTGCCATCTCCGTGCTCATCTCGCCGAACTCACCGCTGCCAGACATCACAGCCCCGAACTCAGTTTCGGTGCTGCCATCATCATTGTAATACCCCTAGTTTTCAAAAGGATAAGATTGGAATTTAAATTTTGTTCTATGTGAAATTTTAATTTGATTTTATGGCTATGTGCTTATGTGTCAAATTGTTTAAATTGAGTAGTGGTTATTGTAATTATTTATTTTAATTAAATGAATTGTTTTCTTTAATTATGGTTATGTGAATTAAGTAATTATTTGATTTTATTTTTATTTCCGTTAATTGAATTAAATTAGTTTTTAATTGTTTAAGTGCTTTGTTAGTTTAGTTAAATAAGTTAATTAGGTTTAAATTATTAGTGTTTTAATTGTAATATTAAACATGGATTCTAGTCTTATATCTCACGACGACTAGAATTAAGTTTTATCGTGGAATAGGATTTGGTTTAGGATTTCTTGGTGTGTGTGTGTGTGTATATATATATATATATTGTTATATTCTCAAAAGGGTTTAGAACCTTATACACGTATAGTAGATAGAGAGAAAAGACAGAGAGTTTAAGGGAGGCATTGAGAGAAGGGGATGAAGGTTTTGGCACAAGGGATTTGGGCTGGACCAAGGATGATGATTGAGGGCTGTTCGAGTGTTAGAACCAGAGCAAGAGAGTCCTCGACGGCCGTCGAGATCGCCGGAAAAACTTAAAAAGACGGCGACATGGTTTTGATCCAAAACTGTAGAGGCAAGTTCTATTCTATCTCTATCTCTTTGTCCTGGGTTCTGTGCATCCTTAGATGGTCTCTAGGATCTTAATCGGATTTTAACTGAATATTACATGCTTATTGAGTGCTATATTGATTGTCTGTATGCTTTTACATTCATGGGTATTGTTTCTGCAAGTTGAAAATTATACTCCATTACTGAAACGTAGTTTAATCGGCAAGGGTTTTTATGGTTTTCTTTGATACAAACTGGAGGGATTTAATAACTGGGATATCACTGGATGTATATTAGAGTCTTAGGGTTGGTATATTCAAGGAACAGAGGAGGTGGAAGCAGCCGGAGACGAAGCAGAAGGCTGTGAAAGTCGTAGGTTGCAGAAGGCTCTCAAAGGAGGAGAGCCAGCTCCCTTTGTGGGAGAGCCGGCTCTCCCTTAGCTGGAGACGGCTTAATGGTTAACAAGAGCCTGCTCTTGGTTTTTTTTAGAGCAGGCTCACTTGTGTGTATGCATTCTGAAATTCTTTGTGCACTGTTTGGAGAAGTTTTATTTTTCAGAAGGGTTTGGAAGTTTACAAGGGTTTCTAAATATGGTTTTCATGAAGCTTTAAATCCTCATATGGCATAAATTATATCTGCAGACGTAATGGATGCAATGGTAGGAAAGTAAACAATGAAGCATGCTTTGTGGTTTTGGGTGTTACAGCGTGTATTACAGAAGCTTAAAAAAAACTTAGAGAAGTCTCTTGAAAACTTAGAGAAGGCTCTCCCTTAGTTGGAGACGTCTCTAGGTAGCTTAGAGCCTTCTCCAGTTTTTTTTAGAGAAGGCTCTCTTCAATAGTACACTTGTTTTGAAATTTTTCTACAAACTGTTGGTACTTTGGAGCATGGGATTACTTCTGTTGATTATGGGGTTTCACAAAAGGATTAGAAGATTGGTTTTGGATGTTGTTAAATCTTTATATTGAGTAAGGTTGACCTCTAAGTGAATGGAATTAACAGTGCGCTATTTTAACAACTGTGCGTATGGTTAACGACTGGAAGGAGATTTATTGTCTAGTTTAATTTGACAATTTAAGGTGCTATATCATGATTCCAAATTAAGTTTTAAATACACGGTGAAGTCTTTTAATTAACAAATTGGACTTGGGGCATAGTTTATGGCTCCGTATTAAAGGATAAAACAGAATAGGAGTATAGAACTTAGTACGCTGTTACTAGATGGAAATAACTAAATTGCTTAAATTAATTTAGCAATTCTTTGGACTATAACATGATTATAAAACTTATTTAAATGCATGATAGAGTTGTTGATTTATTAAAATTGATCTATGCATGCTCTGGATGTTAGTTGTTGAATTATTAAATCGTTTCCTGCAACTATATGGTTAAATGCTTGGATTTAAATTGCTGAAACTTTAAACATTTTTCTGCAATGATATGGATATTTGGTTTTGGACTGTAAATTACTTACTTATTATTTATATGTCATAATTTACATGGATATGGAGGATTGTATGCACCGGTATGGGACGGTGACATACTAGGTATGATTTATCTCAAAACGCTAATTCATACCTTATGGATTTTAATTGGTGTACAGTTTTACCTGTTATATCAATTATGTGGGTTTTATGGATTGTATGCACCGATATGGGACGGTGGCATACTAGAGACAGACTGATTCAAAATACTCAGTCCTACCTATTTTGGAATAAGCATACAAATTATAAAAATATAATTCTCCTTATATTTAAGTCTGTGCGGTTGAATAAGCTAAACGACTTATTGGATCTCTTATATAAGTCTGTACAGTTGAATAAGCTGAACGATTTATTAGATTTCCTATGGATGGATATGAATGGATTTTAAATATATTTTTATGGTACCGCGATATGAGCTTGAGTCTCAGGATAGTTGGTTAGGGTACGTATATGCAGTAGGATGCGTAGCCAGCTATGTTGGTTGAGGTATACCCTGTTAGGCTTAGGTAGTCATGCCCATTCAGGTGCGTATTGCATGTTACCTTCTATTCAGGTTGAGACTCTCAGCATAGTTTAGTGAGAGTCCTGTAGTGTGGATATATATTTATCTATTACGGACTATATAGATATGGTTGAGACATCTAGGATGTATCTGCGTATTGGGTTTCTATTTGGATTGTAGTTAGGATAGAACTTATTTGTGAGCTTGACCCACTATTATTTTTTAGGTAACAGATGGTTCCAGGTCTTAGATCTTGTTCGTGCTGAGCAGAGACGGCTTCTCATTCTTCCGACGACGTAGGAGTTTCTTTGGGATTTAGCATTGAAGTTCTTTAGTTGTTGATTTCAGTGTTGGAGTTTATTAGGGGTCCACCAGATGGATTCCCGAGTTGTATTAGAAATGGAGAATTTGGATGTATCAGAATAATTCTTTATTAATAAAATTTTATTCTGAGATTTCAGTATTTGGGTTATCATTCTAGTTTATTTTCAGCAATTTATTTATTCTTGTTTTCTTAATTGTATTCTGTATTCGTTTATTGCTAATTGGTTTGATATCCTCAGGTAATCGGGCGTGGGCCTGGCCAACCCGCATCCAAAAATCCGGGGGTTTCACAATCATCCTCACGGTAAGCCATCTCCCTCTTCGCCGGCGCCGAACCAATCGTCTCCACTGGATCCTCACAGCCCGTGACCGGATCTATCTCATAGCCGCATCTGTCTCGTCGGCCATCTTCATCCTCACACCCGGATCTGTCTCGCCGGCCTCCAACAGCCGCCACCTCCATCTCCAAGCTTGCCGCTGGATCTGTCTCGACCCAATTGAAAAAAAAAAAAAAAAAAATTAGTACTATTGTTCCTATAAGCCCATGTACTACTCTTCATTTTCCTATCAGCCCAGCCCAATCCATAGTATTTCTATAAATAAAATGAGTTATAATATTTACAAAGGTCAAATATTAAATATGAGCAAACCCACGAACCATAGACATGCCCAATCACAAAATAAACCATAATAAAATATAATAGGGTCAGCCCAGTAAATCAAATGCATTGTCAGTTTATGGAAGAAGACCTAAACTCTTTGTGTGTAAAACACTAAGGCATAGGTGGATGGATATCATGGATTATTATTGTTAATCCAATGAAATATTGAATTTTATTTTTATATATAAAAAAAAGGGCTTTGTTAATGACTTGATAATTTCTTGTTAAATTGGGTAATTTACTATATAATGGATTAATATCTAGTCAGGGGCAAAACACATAGGTCTTACTTTCTAATGTGAATTTATTGATATGAAACATATATATCTTGCATTCTTGTAGTTTATTTTAATACTTGTATGAAGCAAACTTCAATAGATTCTTGACTGTGAAAATACGTTAGAGATTGGAAGTGTAAATGTGTTGTAAGGTTGTAAATTATTGGGTTTAATTGAATAATTGATGCATAATAATTATGTATTTAGAGTATGGATGACATACTAAGTAATTAGGATTTAATTATTTTTAACCCTCCCTACTTTGCAATCTTGGCCCCGCCCCTGTCTCGACCCTCCAACAAACCATCTTCACCTTCACCTCCCTGGCGACAAAGTCATCACCCATCTCACTTTCTCTCTCTAAACCAATTCTCTTTCTCTCTCTATATAGCTCTGTCCGCAACCCTCACTCATTCTCTCTCTCTCTAAATATATATATATCCATATATATGCACCTCATATTGTTATTTTCTGCCGACGGACCTCTCAAATCTCTCTCTATAAATATATATATTCACACAATTGTTCCTATCAACATGTGTGTTATATATTGCATATGTCTGTCAGTTTGTTCTTGTTGGAGAAAGAAAAGAGAGAAGTGAGCATCTGTAATTAAATTTATTTTATTCATCCAAAAATAATAATAATAATTTCTATTCCAAAATTCTCACTCCAAAATTTCGTCGCCAAACATGTTTTATTCTTATTTCATAACATTACACTACAAAATATTTATTCAGTTTTAGATTAGAGCATTACATTACATTACATTACACCACACTTCCCAAACATGGCCTAAGTGATCTATAAGACACTATGACTTTTTTCCCACTTTATTGGATAATCTAATATATGTTACCATGAGGCTATGTTTGGGGTTAACCATTAAGTGTGAGTTTGGGCTGCTTTGCCTTTATAGTTTTATCTCAAGTCTTTTATTCAAGTCCCTCTTTGCCCATTTATGGGTATGTGCAATTATTAATATACCTTTAAAAAAATGAAAATAAATAAAAACAACAACAACAACAAACACACACCCGAACTTTTGACTGGAATACAGTGATTTACATACTAGAAGAGGAAAAATATATGAGGCAAACATAAAAAAATGCAAAATGCTTTCAAATGTATTATTTTATATTTATATTCATTATTATTTAGAAACAAAATTAAGTTTTTTTTTTCTTTTCTTAAATACATATTATTTAGAATTAAAAATTAATAAAATGCATGTTCATTTGTTCAAGTTCATGATCCATTTCTGAGTGTGAGATACAACTGGAGAAGCATACAAAATAATTTTCTATGACTAAAAATGATTGTTTGATGATTATTCAATTGCGTGCATCACATGTGAATTATACTAGTAAATAAAAAAAGCCAGAGAGAGAGAAAATGTTTGGAAATTAACAAAAAAAGAAAAAGAAAATAGGGCAGAGAGAGAGGAGTTGTAACTTGACAAAAAACTTTCGTGGTTCTTCACCATTTTGTTTTTGGCAAAAGTAACTTGCCATCAGATGTCCTGAATTCTTCAACATAAGGTTTAAAATGATATGCCCGATTTGATAGGAAAAGTCCACAAAACAACCTTTATTGCTCAGACATTGACATGAATCAGGTTGGGTTCATCTTAATTAAATCAGGGGCAATGATATAAATATTGAATTCATTTTTGTGGCAATACAACTAAATAGAGTTCAATCTATATTCAGCAATTTGAATTTTTCTTGAGATGGTTCAATTGGAGCAACACATTTTTGACACTTTTATTGTCTTAAATATTTTTCAAAATTAAGAAAAGAAAAAATATTTTACACAAGTCAAAAACAATTTGTTTTATCTCAATTCTTATAATAAATAATTAAAAAATAAAATTAAAGTAATGTTATTTAAATAATGTATGATTACGAATGCATATTCAATAAAAATATCTCAATTTCAAACTATTTACACAGACTATCAATTCATTTACAATAATTTCAAACTATTTACAAAGACTATCAATTCATTTACGTTTTTTATTTTTATTTTTGATAGTCCTTGCTCTTCCTTTACAACTTTAACCATATGGTATATAAATGCCTTTCATAAAATGGTGATGATATTTAGTGTAACTGTGTTTGCTTAGTTATTTCAAGCTGAGTAATACTGTAATGCTCTCTTTGTCCTACTTTAATTGTCCATAATAACATTATTTATTCACTCATATATATATATATATACATTTTAACCTCATCCAAATACAATATAAGTTTAACATTTACCTCAACCAGACACCGTACTAATATTTTATTATTATTCGGGATTCCAATTTTTGAAAGTTGCGTATGTAGCTAAACAACTTTAGAAATAGAGAGAAAAGATGGCACCAGCTTTTAGTTTTTCATACTTTCTACTGGTCTTCCTGCAAAAAGCTGAGCAGGGTATCTCTTAATTGCATTAGCGGACAAACCGTAGGCGGTCTCTACATTTCTCTCACTCTCTGCTCCAACCCAACGCAAGGAAGTGCTCGGGACAAAACTGCCCGGCGATGAGGCTTGTGATATGCCGTCAGCGATGCGTGACGAAGTAAGGAGGAACCGTGGATTGGTTGTCTCAACAGCAAGGAACGGAACTAGGCCTGGCGTTGGATCATATATATATATATATATATATATATAGATACCCGTCGATTTTGTATGCATATAACAGTCCTTAGGGTCATTTGTCTCTTTCTAAAACTTTGCCCTCTCACGTGTGTTGTGACTACCTTTACTATTAAATTTTAATGGATTCTTTTGACTTAAATTTTAAACTAGATTATTCTTAATAAATTATATTTTATGATTACAGAGTACAATTTATATATATAATTCTCCTTCTTCCATCAGTTTTCAACATCTTCGTATCTATTTATTTTTCGAACACAGGTCAAGTAGATGAAAACAAAGATAAATACTAAATGGTACATCAATGAAAATATAAATCATTAATAGAAAGATCACTCTATAAAATTAAGGACATATATATGAGACCCTAGAATGAAGAGTTCATACTCTTTTTATCTTTATTGTTAATTGATTCTTTTGACTTAAATTTAAAACTAGATTATTCTTAATAAACTATATTTTATGATTACAGAGTACAATTTATATATCTAATTCTCCTTGTTTGGGCATTACATCAACTTTCAACATCTTCGTATCTATTTATTTTTCGAACACAGCAGGTCAAGTAGATGAAAACAGAGATAAATACTAAATGGAACATAACTAGAAAAGATTAACGACTAATCAATGGAAAAAGAAACCATTTATACATCAAGCATGAATAATGAAGAATAATCTAGTGTCTAATGTCTCCGCTAATAGCAACACGCAAATACTAAACCATAAAGCATAAAAATAAAACCCAAGCACAGCAAAGGAGTATCATCCTAAACAGAAATAAACTAGAAACATAAAATAGAGATAGAGAGCGGCAAGAAAGATGCAATATAATGTCTCCAATGGCAGCAAAACAAAAGTAATTTTAAATATCAAACAAGTACAATAGCCCCTTGGTTGGATCAAGGATGAACAATCATAGGACTGCCATTTCTTGAGTTGACCGGAAAGGGTAAAGTTGCCTCCAGCCCAGCTAGTCTGGCCATCTCAGCCTCGAATTGCTTTTCCGGGACTCCAGTCAACGTCATGCATTCCATCATCAGCTGACGATAAGCCCCGCGGCCCTTCACGGCATCATACATCACCATTCTTTCCTTCTCTTTCATATTTTTCTCGGCCACTCCGAGTTTATCGTATCCGTTCAGCTTGTCAGCTATACGTGCACATACAGCACGACCTCCCTCCAAAGCATAATATGCAATGGCGACCTTCGCAGCGACGGTCCAAAAGCCATTCATAATGAAGTAACCAACAGCTGAAAGAAAAAGAAGATAAGAGGAAACAGATATGCAGTGCAAAAACGAGAAGCAATTATGGACATACTTTGTCTGATATATATGATGTACAAACCCTGAAGTTTTCGTGATGGGATTGGAGGGCTATTATCGTTTTTGACAACACTACCTACTGTAACATGCTAATAACTTGACACGTGTTAATAACCCTTTTCAATGGGGACTTATTCCTGCAAACATGTTTCTTGGTTCTCATTCTTCGTAAATACCATTTTGTCCACCACTGTTCTTAACAATTTCTCCAGCATCTTCCACGGTAACAATTGAAAACTTTTGGTACAGAAAAGAAAAAACATAAGGAGAGACAACCAACACTACACGGTTAAAACCCTAAACAATCAAAGGGAGGAGAGCCGGCTCCCTTTGTGGGAGAGCCAGCTCTCCCTTAAGGAGTATACTTATGTACACATTATATATAAGGAATCAAATATATACATTTTGGCATAAAATGCTATAAGTGGCATTTCAAGCCAACCTTTACAAGAATTAAAACCTTCAAGTTTACAATCATCAAAGCAATGATAAATATCACAAACCAAATCTTCGTACCTGAACAAAACCCCCAGTAACTTCGGGGTGAGTA